CCAATCGTTCGATGGGCTGAACTGCACAAAACTCATGATCGCACCGGCTATTCTGGCGCGCGTTGCCATTTATTTTAAAGTTGTTTCTCACCTCAAGTTTCTAGGCGGTGCAGACACTTTTGTCTTCGTTTTTCTTCGGCGATAACTCGGATGTACAGTATCAGTGGATGCGAAGTCAAACAGCGACTTGGGTACTTGGAAGTGCTAAACCAAAGAGCACTGAATTACGGTATGTTTTTCCAGGTGTCTTTTTTAATTTCTAGTGTGAAGGAAGGTTTTGTAAGTATGATAAGCATGCATGGGACTATCTGAAAAAGATTTTCCTCAATATGAAGAGTAAGTGTAAGGAATGTCTTTTTCCAAGGAGAAGGTCTGCGGAAAGAGTGTATCGATTGAGAACAAAAAAAAATTTTTTGACTTTCAACGTTGCCAACTGCTTTTTAGGGCATTTTTCAACGGGTATCTGAATTCACTGGTTTGTTCGAGGAATGATCATTCTGCGTTTTTTGGACTCATTTTTATCTATGCATTTTGCCAGAACAAAGGTATGAATTTGTGACAAACCATTGGATAAGTGTTGAGTCGATTGTCGTACATATATGTTTTCCTCTGATCCTTAAGAAAATCTGTTCTTTCGTATTTTTACCAGCTAAAATAATTCTCTAGCTGCTAATTTACAGGAGCGAGAGGAGAAATTCTGGAAGCTGTACAATTCACATCAGATGCCCTTGGTTCTTCCGAACATAATTTCTTGAATTTTTTGCTGGATGTCATAACGAAATGCGCTGAAAAAGGTGAGCTGATAGCCTTTTTCAAATTATTTCCCAGCTAGTGCGTTGACATTCTAATTAATTGCCGATTTGCAATTATTGGTACTTCTCGCCATCAAAATAGTTCATAGCCTTCTCGCTGATATTATTTAAAAATGTTATTTGCCTTCCTACTTTTTAAAATGATTTTGTTCTTCCTACTTTCTCGTCCCCTAATTAGAAAAGTGATTTAGATAACTTTTCCTGCCACTCTTTTAACCCATCCAGTGCGACATTTTCTTATGTTCGTTTAGAACTGGTCCTAATTTATAATTGAGATTGAGCTAGAGATTGGTGGAACTATTTCCCAGTGATAATCAAATTCTTAAGATATTTTTTAATGGGATTTTTTCAAATTTTAGAAGCATTTATTCGTACAATAACTGTCGAACTGTGTTGCGTTGTGATCAGACAGTTGTTGCTGGCGATGGATGCATCTGTGGAAACGCAGATGGAATGCAAATGGCGAGCAGATAAAGCTAAAGCAGATATTGTTGCTGCACTTACACCATCTGTTCATTCTGAAGAATTATTCCTGGAAATGTTCGAAGATGAATTTTATAATTTCGAGGTTCCTACTCCTCCTAGCTCTGTTTTCATTTCCGGGGATTTTCAGGTATTTCTTCCCGCACTTCAGTTTTATTTTTCACTTTTGTTAATTTTCGATTTTTTTGCGAAACTTCTCTTTAGAGGAACAAAATTCGTGTTGGGAATATGAGTGTGGATTCCGCGCTTTTGCTTCCTCCGCCAAGTACTCCAATGAGTGGAGTTCCGCTCAACAAGCGTCTCCCATCCGGCAACGAAGAACGCATTCGAAGGGTATGTTCTTTTAACATCTCATGTGTGGTGTGAATGACTGCTTTTGTTTCCTATTCTGTGCTTATTACACAGAGAACTTAAATAACTGGATATGTAGTTTTGGCAACTACTGATTTTTTCTGGCTATTTAAACAAAAATATATGAGGCGCCGCTTATCTCATGCATCTCATAATGTTAATCATAAATCAAAATTTCCTGTGCAACCATCATCCACGATTAGAATTAGGGGCAGTGAGAACAAGCTGAGTGGTAGTACTTGAAAACAGCAATCCGTTGGCTAGGTTTCCTATTGGCTCCCTCTTTTGAGGTAGCATACCAGCAAGCTGATAGCGGTTTTGGCTCTTTGGCAGTTGCCAGTACCTATTTACTGTTGGAACCAATAAACAAACCGTAAAGAGACTGATTATTTCACTAACGGAATGAACCCGTGATTTTCGACACAAAGCGTTACTCGTCACTACGCCATGCTCACCAGTGTTGGCATCCAAATTCCAGATTTTGCGAAATCCTTACAAATAAGTGATTGAGCGCAGTTTTTTATAAGGCTGTAAAAATTTAAATGCCAAACTTGGATTTTATGCCAAAAAGTTTTGGATGGGTTTTTCTTAAATGTAAGCCAGCAGTAGCAGTAGATAAACTTTCCGAAGCGTGTAACACGCTTTCGCTTCCCTATTTTTTGTTGTCATGCGAACTGTGATACATTTGAAAATTGGATAATCGCTTTTAGTTTGCTTAAAACTAGTACTTCTTCAACTGACAGAAAGGCGCAGAGGTCTTAAAACAAGTACCATTTTCAGGGGGATAATTTGGGCACAAATTCTCTACATTTCTGTTTTCAGGGCATACAGTTGTTTTTTCATTTGAGACGATTTGCGCTTGATCTGGGCGGTGAAGAGGAGCCCGAACTGCATGCTCCACTAAAAGCCGATGTTATCGTTGAAGTAAACGACTGCATCAATCTGGGTTATTTTCATTCACTTTTGTTTACCTCATATTTTATAACCCTCCTGATAAAAATGACTTCTTATATGTAGCTGGACATGTTGAGGATTTTAACTGAACTGTAGCTTTTTCTATCTTACAGCATCTTATAAAAGATTTTATCTTTTATCGTGCATCAAAAAAAGTAAGTAGAAATTCATCCAGCTTATAGACGATGACAAAGCACAGTAAATCATTACAGCATTGGATGATTTAAGCATATCACTTCCAGACTGTTCATGTGTTTCATATCACCAAAGTTGTTGTAACCATTACCTGTAGGTTCTGCTAATGTCCAAATAATTGGTTTCATTGACATGACAACGGGTAAGTTAATTTTGGAAAGCCTAACATAATGGAATTTCAAATCACTGGAATATCAGTTGCATATTAGTAATGTTTTCTTGCTGTGAATTTCAAAAAGCACTGGTTTATTTCTCAGTTACACTCTCTGAAAGCCCCGGAGGCACTTAGAAGTAGCCCGTATGATAACACAAGCCAACAGCAGCTACCCATTTGGTAACTCTCCCGACGGTTCCTCTTTCAAGAATTGCTCATAAGTACGCTAATGGTGATTTCGATTCGTTGATACGTATCAGTACAAGTTTACAGTTAAATGAAATAAACGAGCTGCGGAGGGATTGGTTGCCGCACTGGTAGAGAATCATATTTTGTAGTTGATTGTCTTGTTTTTTCTTATTTCTAATGGCAGTTTTGCAGAGAATAGTGATTTACTGGCGTGTACAGTGATTATGAATAATCGAGGCGAAAGAGTTCATCGATTCCTTGTAACAGACCAAGCGCAACTGATACTGGTTGAGCCGGATAACAAGCGAATGGGATGGGCTGTTGTTCGTTTTGTTGGCCTTCTACAAGTAATTTTTTCATTACTTTTCAAATATTTTCTTTATTTCATCAATTATTTTTAATTTCTTTTGGTGCGATGTTTAAGGATACGCAAGTAACGGGTGATTTGGGTGACAGTCGTGCCCTTCATATAATTGTTAACAACGTTGGCAGCCGTTCTTCACGAGCAAATAATGCTTTGTGTTTCAATGCTAAACTGATATTTGATGATCACATAAGATGTATGGCTGCGAAGCAACGCCTTACAAAGGTTCGTGAAAAATATCATTTATTGTAAAATCTGTCATTTTTTGTTTGATAGCTTAAAGCATTCAGAAACGCAACAAGAAATTGATATGGAAGTTTCAACTCAGTGTTGGAAGCCCGTTTTTAAGTGTAACGCACCCAAACTCTCGCTGCAGTCATACCAGTCTGTTCGATCTCGAGCTGCATATTTCCAGTTAGTACCTACCTCTACAGCTTCAGAGGC